AATTTTGACAAAACTAGATCCATTTAATGGATGTACGAAGTAATGGTAACATATTTCCTTCTTGATGCATTTTCACCCGCCTCTTATTGAAAATTCAAATCATTGACCTTTTAAGCTGAGAATTTCAATTTTAACTACAGGAGATGGGATACTAAATTTATGAATCATGATTATGACATTATACTTGTTGAGGACCAAAATGACTATCAGAACTCAAGTTTGATTTAGTTACCACTGAATTCAATATTTGATATATAAGATAGAGCTATAGCTAATTCAGAAAATATTTGATTATAATGTAATATGATACATGTTAATATGTTATATATCATAGATGTTAATATTACACCAATATAAGATTATGATGTGTAACTCATATTCAGTCAGCCAATCAAAATAGATGCATTGTTTATAAATGTCGACCATTTCAGTTTCTAATAACACTACAAAATTCTCCATTTATTTTCTTATTTCAAAGGATTATTTATTATAGTTTTCTTCGTTCTATTTTTTTCTTCTCATTTTACATCAAATAAGATTAAAATAAATTATTTTTTAAAGTTCAAAAATAAAATATAATTTGTTAAAAGTTGAAACTGATTAAAATGAGTTATGCTTACCGTGCAAGAAATTAAAAAAGAAATTTAATTAAAGTTTTAGTTTATTTCAAATGATCGATTATTTTATATAATTAAAAAATATTCTTTTGTAATTTTGTTCTTTTCTTTAAATATCAAACATGATTAAAAAAGAATAATAAAATAAAATAAATGCATATTTTATATGATAAAATATACTTATTTTTCTTTGACTTGAATTTGTTCATAAGTTCAAATTGTATTGAGATATAAATAAAGTGCTACATCGTTAAAATAAAAAAAAGAAATAAAAAGTTTATTAAACATATAAATACTTCATTGTCAAGAGGTCTTTTAAATGATGATCAAAAGTAAAATCATAAAGATTTAAGTTTAAAGTGAACAATATATTACTAATATGAAAAAATGTGTGCAAATTAATCCCTTAAATAATTAGATAAACAATAAGATATAATTCACCTCTTGATAAAATAACATTCAAAAATTAAGTATAAAATATAACTAACAATGGTATGAGAGTTTATGGTTGGATTAGTGATAATCAATAACTGATACATACAAACAAAAAATTCCCACATTGTTAAAATATACATACTTTATTAGTAAGAAACCTTTTGAGTGATGACCAAAAATAAAATTATAAGAATTTAAATCTAAAGTAGACAACATCTTAACAATGTGAAGATATGTGAGTGTACAAATATCCTAAAAAACTCAATAAATAATAAGATATAACTAAATATGAGAATATGTCAAACCTTAATCAGACATTCTATATATGTTTAAGATTTTAAAACAACTTATTTATTTAAAATAATTGTGCTTAGACTTAAAAAAAAAGTATGTTAGACCTAACAAACCAATCTATTTATCTATGTGATATGTTGAAAAATTAACACACATATTATATTATAAAACAATATAATTAATTAAATAATTTTTTAATACAAAAATTAAATTATCAATATTTTTGATATTTCTACTATAATTTAACATTTTACATTCCTTATTTATACGAAATCAATAAATAGGAAATATAAAACTTAACTGTTGCATCTTCATTTGTTCTTTTTCTCCATCTTTGTAATTGGTTATTTAAAATATTTCAAATGGAATATAAGAAATATTTATAAAGTATTTTTCTTATAAGATTATCTTTTTTCATCTCACTTGTGCGTAAGTGTACACTAGTATACATGTATATGCTTGAATTGTTTTTCTTATATTATTTTTTTATATATTTTTTAAAAATTTTAAACTTTAATAACAATATAATAAACAATTTTTTTAGGATAATTTGCATTTTTGATCCTTATATAATGTGTAATATGCAGTTTTAGTTCTCCAATTTTATAAAATTTATAATTTTGATCCTTTATAGAATATTCATATGTTGTTGTTAAAATTAAAATATTGGACATAATCACACATTAAATAGATAACATGATAATTAATTTTAATAATATTTAGACTAAATTATATTTTTAATTTATATTATCTTATTTTTTTTATGTTATTTTATCATTTTTATGAGATAAAAAAAATAAATTTAAAATAATTTATAGGACTCTCTAAATGAAATAATTGATTATTTTCATAGATAGTCGATTATTTTGTTCTTGGTAAATTTTAAAATTAGTCAAGAACACTTTAATCAATTATTTATTAGAATAATTGATTATCACAAATTGCTGACTTAAAAATAATTGATTATTGCATAGTGATAATCGATCATTATAACGAGTTTCTCCAAATGAGAAAAATATAATATAAATAATTAATTATTATAAGTAGATAATAGTGATAAACTCGTATTCTCGATTTTTTAGTTTAAAATCAGTTTAATTTTTTTTCAACATCAATCACTGTATAACAAGAAATATATGACTAAATTACTCACAATGCACAAAGTAAACATGTCTAACAAAGCATAAACATACATCAATACAATTTGCATTCTTAAGCATAAGAGACACTCTCCTTAGTCATTAAGCAAAATTGAAAGACCAAAATTATGAATTGAATATTATAGGATACCAAAATTACAATTTAACTATTTTATTATCAAGAAAATTAAAAAAGACTCTATATATATTTAAAAATAAAATTGTTGACTTATTTAAAATTAAATTTATTGACATAATAATATTAATATAAAATAGACTATTAAATACATAAATAAATCATACTAGACTTTTAAAATAAAAAAGTTATAAAAATAATAAATCAAACTTATATTTTATATTTATAGAATAAATTCAACTTGTATATTAAAAAACATCACTAATCTTTCCTACATTAGATAATCTTTCTCTTGATAAAATATATCTTCAAAAATCAATTTAACACAAATTTAATGTATAGTTATCTTGATTTCGAAATGAGTAACTACATTTTTTTTAAATAAAACATTTTTAATAACTTAATTTTGTAAAAAATCATAAACCATAAATATTTTAAAATGAAATAAGCAATTCACAGTCCACGTAGTTGTGCGGATGCTAATATCATTAACTTTAAAATATACATATTTATTTTGGCTGCGCTAAACTTTACATGATTAATTTTTTTTTAAAAAAAAGGAGTATATAAATTTATATAACGAAATTTCATTATTACATAATCTTACTGAAAATTCCTGGGTCTGAAGAAGACAGAAAGTCTGATTCAAGGTCTTATATGTTCATGCTCTGTAGAACTGATTATTATAGTATTTAATATTTGCCATTATGTAATGAACAATGCGAATGAAATATTTAACTACTTTTCTGTACATGTTGGGTAAAAACCATTTCTCATCACAACGCGTCAAAAATATGACAGAGAGAGCGTTGATCAGGAAGAAAACAAAGTTATGATTGGTAGTTTTAGGAGAGAAGGAAAAAAAATATATTTTATTTTAAATAAAAATTATATGATATTTATTAAAAAAATAATTAACTCATTAAAATATTTACTTGTAAAGGGTCTTGCTGACCAGTTTTAATAAATCACTTCTTTATGGACAAATAAAAAAGATACTGGAGACTGGAGTAATGAACTTCACTGTACCCAATTTCAGCATTTAATGAATCCCGCAAACAGTGCCTCTGAATTAGTGTTTTCATTAATTAACTGTTTGATTAAAAAGCTGAGACTCCAAGAACAAGCTTTGAGCATTGTTTGTCATCTACGGTGTCAGCAATTAAAGAAAGGGTTTGGTTCCCAATATAAGAGTTAAGGATTGTATTATTTTCTTTTTTTCATAAATTACGATTATCTTCGATTTAGCCTAGAGTTTTGTAAACCCTAACACATCTTCAACCGTGGTCAATGTTGAAGGATTTTCAATCATTCCGATAAAAAAAAAAGTGGGTATGATTTTGAAGTGTCAAACCCGAATTTACCTTTGAATAATTTTATATTATCTAAAATCCTTTTTTATTTTCCAAAGCATTAAACTAAGAAAGCATCTTATCCACTTTATACTTTCATTTTTTCTAACTTTTTTTTCTTATTGGAGAAATGGTTATTAAAAAATGAAAATCATGAAAAATTTATTAAAATATGTTTAATATTATCAATATATTTCAAAATAATTATAGATATTTTGTTTTCACGAGCTTGTAGATATGAAGTAAAAGTGAAAATTATAAATAAAAAAAATTAGTGTAAATTGATTAGTGCAAAATTATTTTAACTTAACCAATTATTTCAATTATAGGTAGTAGTATGCATCAAATACTCTAGTCACAAAAAATTAACTTTATTATTCATAGAAATTATGTTTAACTAAGTCTAATACATAATTTCATTAATATTATAAAATCCCAATTAAAATAAAAAATTTCTCATTAAAATGACAAACAAAATAGGACAAATCTCATAATTAATGCCAATTTATTCATTAACATGTGTCCTTGTTAGCAAAATCCTTGTAACCATTATATAATATAAGAAAAAGAAACAAGCCTCAAAATTAATTATTATTATTTTTAAAATATTGTATTTATTAATTTTTTAAGCCTATATAAAAACAAAATTAAGGTGGTACTTATTATGTGACGAAAGAGAGTAATAAATTCTCAATAATACACCTGTGGTTAATTAAATTAAATTTGGGGTAAAAGTCTTGAATGCTTTCAAACTGAAATAAAGATCTAAACCAAAAACTTGGGTTTTTGGTGTAGTTTTCTCACTCTTTGTCAAGTGAATCAGCTGTTTCTGTGCGTGTCGTAGCTCTTTTATTTTAATACAAATGGATCATTACAAAAACCCAATCCAAGACCCCCTGAGGAATAAAAAATTGTAGGAAAGAAAAGTATTGTCCTATAGCTAAGCATTCCTATTTAAGCAAGAAAATGAGACCATTGATTTATCATTTACTTGAGGGGAATAATAAGAATAAATAATGAAGAAAGAGAAATGGTGGTAGCGAAGGGAGTGGGGGAAAAGGAATCACACATGAGAGTGTCTTTCTCTGTCTATTAGTTTTTTTATCCCGTCGACTCCGCGGAAGGGAAATCCAAAGTGACCCTATTTTTTGGTACAGTTTTGTGGGGTTTTGACTAAAGAAAGAGAGAAAGAGAGAGACACCTTGTGCTCTATCTTCTTTCTTCCTCTTCTTCTACTGTCATTTTCCGATATATACTCTCGAGGAAAACAAAACCCAAATCCACTTGTTTTCCTTCACATACCTCTCTGGAATATTTTTATTTTTTATTTAATTCCATTCACTCACTCTCTCTATGTGTCTCTCTCTTACCTTTCACCACATTCACAATTAATCTCTTGAGCATGTTTGTTTTTTGTTATTGCAAAGACTCGGTGCTCCTTTGTTTCTTAGTTCAATCTCTCCTCTCTTTCATCATCCCTTCTTCAAGTTTGTTCTTTCTTTGAGTTAGCTTTCCAGATTCTTATCTTGAGGGAAAGACTGAAAAAAAGAAGAGAGAAGGAGCTGGCTGAGAAGATCAACAAAAGGATTATGCTACACTGTCTGCTCTTATTGCACTTTTAATTGCCTTGTGTCTCCTGAGCAGTATCAAAATCTGATATCATTTTAATAAAGGGAAAAGAAAGAAAGGCATTTGATATAAGCATCAAGCCATCTCATAAAGATGACCTTGGAGGGGATTTTCATTGAGCCTACTTCAACCACTGCTCCTGATCTTTCCCTTCACATAAGCCCCCCAAGCATCTCATCCTCTTCCTTGATTTCCAATAACACCACCAATTATGAACCCCAACCAAGTTTCCCTTCAAGGAGTACCGTCTCTCAAGCCCACACAGAACTCTCTTTAGGAAGAAATTTCACTTCAACACCAACACCAACACCAACACAACCACATAACCCTTATTACCAAAACCAAACCCCTTTCCATCATCTTCACCACAACAACACTACTAGTACTGCTACAACAAGTGGTGTGAATGTTATTACAAGTACTAGCACCACTAGTACACCCTTGAATCACATAAACTATGGAGTTTCATTGCTTGATGTGTCATCATCAGAGGGGTTGAGGCCAATCAAGGGGATCCCGGTGTATCACAACCGTTCATTCCCTTTCATGGCCATGGACCATGCTAGAGACAAGGATCATCACCACCACCCTCACAAGATGTGCCTATATCATCACAATCACATGCCTTCTTCTTATTCCTCTCTCTCTTGTTCATGTACTCCTTCTTCTTCACCTTCACCTTACTTTGCAGCGGGTGTGGATCCCATGTCCCTCTTGAACAACGGCTCCACCCCGGCCTGTAGGGCCGCCACTGCCACAAGGTTTAATGGGTTCTCTGGCGATGCTTTCAAATCTCATCCATTGCACCAATATGGAGTTGGCACCTCAGAAGCCTCTTCTGGGTTAATGAGATCAAGGTTTTTGCCTAAGCTTCCCAACAAGAGGAGCATGAGAGCACCAAGAATGAGGTGGACTAGCACCCTCCATGCTCGATTTGTTCATGCGGTTGAACTTCTTGGTGGCCATGAAAGTAAAGATTATTTCTTTCATTTTTCATCACTATTTCTTTCTGCTAAAGATTTGTTGTTGTTTTTTTTCCTTTCAGTCTCTCTCTCTCTCTCTCTCTTTTTTTTTTTTATTATAAATTTTTAAGTTGACTTTATTTTAATCTTCTAAATGTCTTCTTCTTTGTTTTATTAACGAATTGAGAGTGTGTATTTGTTTAAAATTTTAGGCTTTTGATTAGCTAACGTGTTTGGATGTGGTGAATTCAGGGGCTACTCCAAAATCAGTTCTTGAGCTGATGGATGTGAAGGATCTAACATTAGCTCATGTGAAGAGCCATTTGCAGGTATGATTTTGAATCTTTGAGTGTTGTTCATGTGGGGCGGTGTTTGTGGCACGGTAACCGATGTAGAAAGCAGTGAATGTGGGAGTGGATGAATGAATTTAAAGTGTGTAGTGAGCCTTTAACGTCTGAGAAGACCAGACAGAAAACAGTTTCTGCTTTGAAAGAGAGAGAACAGACAAAGATCATCATTTTCCAATAATAGACCATCTCATTACAACCTCATCAAACATCAACCTCGTGATTAATGAGATAAACCCAACCAGACAATCCCAGAAGCCAACATACAAAGAGAGAGAAAATGAAAATGGATCTCAATGGGAATTGGTTTTATATTCTTTATTTTTTTTAATAAAATATTAATTTAGTTTTATTATATATATATATAACATCTCACGCACGCTAATTATTAATGGATTTTCTTCCAAGCATGGTATAAAATGCTTTGTTTTTGTTTATGACTTCTTCCCAGATGTATCGAACTGTTAAGACCACTGACAAGCCTGCAGCTTCTTCAGGTAATTCGTATTGCTTAATCTTCAACCATTTTTTTTCTCTTTTTTTAGCAGCTTTATATTTTTCTTAAGCATACACGAATTATTATTTTTTTCTCATGTAACAATAACAAAAAAATAATGTCACACTGGTTCTTTTTAGTCCTTACAATTATTTTACTATTACTTTTAATTTTACTGCAAAATATTCCTTTCTTCTTTCTTCTCTCGTACTTTTACACAAACCCTTTAAAAAGGACAGTCCATAGATATTGAACAAGACTCCACATTAGTCCAAAATAAATTATATAATATGGTATTAATATGCATGCATGCATAAATGAAGTTTTTTAAAATTTTGGCTTTGCAGGCCAATCAGATGGGTCTGGAGAGGATGAGTTGTCTCCGATTGGTAGCACTGCCGATCGCGGCAGTCTCCGGCAATTCCCCAACCACCAAGGGCGGCCGGAGTGGACGGCGCAACAAGACATGGACTACTCTTCCACCACCACTCTATGGAGTAATTCCTCAAGGTATCCTTATACCAATTTCCTCTTTACTATAGTTTGAGAACATAAATTAATTTATGTTTTATATATATGTATGAGTATTGTGCAGCATGTATGGACGTACATGTTTATGTTTGTGCTTTATTTGCTTTTGCCTTTGCATGGTATCTGATGGATATCAATGCAATGCAAACCCACGTCCACCGGATTCTTCTTTTGTGAAGAATAAAAAGGGTTCTCATGTCAGCTTTTGCTTTGCTTGTGTTTGGTTGTTTCTTTCTTTTATATATCTTTTGTACCTCAGCGAATTTTCTCAACTGAGATATGTATATATGTAGCTATATATGATGGGTATATAATAAAGGAAAGCTTCAAGGCATAATCAATCGATGATTAGGATAAAAGCAAAGCACCTGCAGTTTCATGCGCTTTTTCTTTTCTCTTCTCCTTTGGAAGAATTTGATCTATTCTATATACTATTATATA